ATTTTTGCTATCAATAAATTGTTGTTATTTTAAAATTGATTTGCTTTTATTATGTGCCAGCGCACATTCATTTGAATGCTCCTCCCTAATCGATAACAGCTGTAATCGATATATGATTTCTGCTTGAAAATAACTGTCCTTCCCCTGCAAGTAACGTGCACAGCTGATCCTACCTCTCCCCCTCCCACAACAGTAGATAAATAGGTTTAACAGCTGTTTGGTCTGTTATGTTGTTGCTGTTACTGTTGCTGTTGCTGCTGCTGCTGCTGCTGCTTATCGCAGCTGAGCCTGAAGAGTCGCAGTGCCAATCACTGTTAAATTGCTGTACTGCCGCTTACCCCTGACCCCCTCCCTCCTCACTAATCGATGCTTGCGGAACTTTATTTATAGCGCACAAACGCAATAGCGCAAACGGCAACGAAGAGCAAGAAACTGAAACATGTTTATGTTTGCTGAATATATATTTTTTTGTTGCGTTTTTTGTTATGTATCTTCTTCTTGTTCTTCAATTGCTACTCACATGAAATTGTTGTGGTCTCCGTCCGTCCGTCTGGCGCGCTCCCTCTCTGTCTATTTCTAGTTCTAGTTCTCCTTTTGCTCCTTTTCACGCTTTCTTTTCGTTCTTTTTAGTTTGGCTTTCTTTCGTGCGCTGCTTCTTTTTCGTTTTCGATTTTGTTTTCACATTTGCAGTTAGGAGAACACAATTAAAAAAAAAAAAACACAACACTTAAGAAAAATAATAACAAGAACCAATCGAAAACTTGGAACAGTTTTTTCAACGCAAAATTTTGCACGCGCGCTTTTTGCTGTTTTTGTTTTTGTTTTTTTATTGGCGAAATGTTTTGATTCTTTTGTGGTTTTTATTTAAATTGTTGTTGCTGTTGTTGTAGCTGTAGCTGAGATCGAGATCGTTGGCATATGTTCAGCGCCTGCGAATGCGCTTTGTGGCAAGTTGAATGCACTTTTTGGTAATCCCACGGATGCGTATGCGGATGTGATGTGCAGCGGCGTTTACCGTTAAGGTCTATCTGTGCTGGCTCTGCGTGTACTCGTATCGCTCCTGGTTGAGCCAGAGATTGTGATCCTCGCAGCCGCTCTCAAAAGCCACACGCCAGTGCACCATTACAGCTCTGCCTGCAATTGATTGCCCCTCGAGCTTCTTCTTCGTCTTCTTTTTCGTCTGGCTCTGGCTGCCGATAATGATAATGTTGTTTGTTTGGCGTTCTGTGCTCTTCCTCTGTCTTCTTCTTCCTCTTCTTCTTGTTGGCTATACAACTTTCCTTCAAGGTTGCTCTTGCTGCCTCTTGGGCCAGCTCAACTGCAACTTTTACCAGTTTGTGTGTCTGCCTGTTAAGGATCTACAGTGGGCTTTGAACTTTAGACCATGCCAACAACAACGGGAACGACAACGGGAACGGGAATGGGAACGGGAACGGGAACGGCACGACGTATACGTGACGGACCGGTCTTTGGGATGCGCTACGTAGAATGATACCGATACGAAGGCGAACTCTGTAGTTCGATCGAGTGCTTCTCGCCGGGGCGGGGCAGCTTTCAAATATTGCTGAACTGAACCGTTGGCGAGCAGCGTTGAGCAGCAACTGTTCGGACGAGTCGAACATTGTCGTTGAGGCTGCCGCTGCCGCTGCCGGCATCGTCGTTGGCGCTGACGTCGACGATCATCAAAGATGCCGCACAGTGGGCATGTTTAGTTATTTAATGCTGCAAAATAATCACAGCCGAAATATGTATATAATTGATCATGATTGGAAGACTTAACCGTGACGAGCATACGGCTATGCTCAATAATTACTTTTCGATCTAAATATAAATAAAATTGTTAAGATGTTAAGCAATAGTTTCCAGCTTTAGTCGTGTCTATGTCCTGATTGCATATGCTTTCATATTTTTATTTTTTTAATTTGAAAAAATGAATCTATTTAGTAAGTTGCATCCCAACAAAATGATCCAAGTTTAAACTGAATTAACAAATGCTCCATCACATTATTTACTATAGATTTTGATTTATCGTAACGCCATTCTGGCCCCACAGTACGTCGTCTGCGTAATCAGCTGATGAGCGCCTGAGCGATGTGCTCCCAGCCCCTCTCTTACGTTCTCACTCTCTTTCAGTATGTTGGCCTCTCCATATTCTTGCTGTTGTTGCTGCTGCTGCTGCTGGCAGGACAAGAGCACACATACATATGTGCATATTTCTCGCCGAGACACTGATAAGCGCCTTATCTGATTGCAAAGTGACACAATGAGGTGATGATTTTGATAAGGATGATGATACGCGAACACATTTACGATCGGATTACACTCTTCAACCTGAAACCGGGTACTGCGAAAATATATCTGTGTAAAATTGCGCACGTTTCGCCGAATTTCAGAAGCGTCATTTCAGCGTCATTAAATAAACAGAACTGGGAAATGCCGAAAGCAACAGACATTTCTCGCTGTGTAGACGATCTCAATTTGAATGCATTTTTCCCATATATGTACATCGAATGTCCCATAAAGAAACTCCGAACATCAGCTTGTCCAACCGCTTTTCGCTCAGTGTTGATGCAAACGGGACAATGTGGAATGGCGTTCGCGTAAGCCCGGTATAATCCCTGTTTTGGACACGATAATACTCTGTCAGATTGTAAAGATACCGCGCGCCATGCGCACTTCGGCAGCACTTTTAATAGTTCAACAGAACTGTGCTAAGCTCCAAGTAAATAAATACGTGCAAATCATAACTGTGTGTACGCAAAAGTTTTGATTCGAGCTAATCAGTAAAAGCCCAGCCCAATGATGCATGCAGGTCCGGAGAAAAGCTTAAGATTGTGGAAAACGATTCGGGTTTCCTTTTTAGGAAAAAGCTTACCCTTAGAACTGCACTTTCAACCCTTCACACCTTTGGCTTTAAACACGCCTCACGAAATCAGTTTCACTATTAACCTATTAAGACCCAATGCAAATATTGTTACTATATGCTATATATATGTATATGTACAGATAGACAGATGTACTATATATATATATATATATATATTCTAATCACAATTCAGATTGCGTCATGCAGCTTTTAGTCATGTGATTTGAGAGCAAAGCATCGAAAAGTTCTAAAAAGAAAAAAAAAAGTATATATGTACACATGTAAAGGTACACTCGGGTTATCGAACCTTGTATACCCTAGCAGATATATTTTATACTTAATAACAATTATTGGATTTTTATCTGCATATCATAAAAACACTTATCGGCTCGTTATCGTGCTTTCAAATTCCTGAATTGTTGTTGGCAATTTGTTCATTGGCACGGAGATATGTAAATATATGTAAATGCTTTTGTGGACATTTTTATGAACTATTAAGATGTTAAGATACTATTTTAAGGATATGCAATTGACTTGCCTCACATACATACATACATATGCTATGTCACACTCAGAGTTGCATTTCATTTGAACCGGTTAGTAATTTTGGTTAGAGTTCCGATAAATCCCACTGCTTGAACGTAAGTTCACCGGACACAGAGCACAATGGCCTAGACCACGCTATATTTGCTTTGGTTGAACCACTTTTAAAGAAAACGAAGGTTCAAAAGTTTGGCAGCCCTGCTGTGGCCACATACTATACAAAAGCTAAGATACATAGTTCAGGCTGATATGGATTTCTATGCGCACACCTGGCTACAAGTTGGTACTTCGTTCCCGGATTTGAAGTGTGCGTAATATTACCGTTGCTTTCTACATGCAGTGCAATGACTCGCTAAAGATCAACGATTTCTAGGGAATTTCATAGGCCCGACCACCCCCAACAATGGGCAGCCCTTGGGTTTGAGCTCGTATGCAAACTGAATTTTTGTGGTGTTTTTTTTTTTATAGCAAAAACGTGATCGAAGCCACTCTGGCAGCTAGTTGTGAGAGCTCGATCTGGGCTCTGGTACTCAGTGTCCAAAGTGCTATTGACCAAAAGCGTCTGCTTCTATTGACAAGCAGCCACAATTGTGGCTCATCTCGCAGCGGTTGCCCATTCGCAGTTGGTGTCACGTCTGCCTGAACGCCTTATCAGAGCCAGCGGCAGTCGCGGCTCAGTGGGGCCGTCTTCATCTGGTTAAGTAGCTGGCAACTGGCTTACGAGCCCTGCATCAATTAGATAACTGGGCAAGCTGGAGCCGTGCGCAGATAACTTGGCCAAAATTTATAGGCATTGATAAGACTTTGAACTTTATGGGCCAGCTCTGCGACGGGAAGTGCTTAGAAGCAGCATTGTCATCACTGCCGCCTCGTTATCAATCGGTATTAGGCTTATCTATTGCTAGGTAAACAACACAACCAGACAACAACAGATATGAGTCCAACGATGCTCCGAGCACGAAATCAACTCAGATGCTGGCTGCCAATGCGGGGCCGTGAGCAAAAACTGGAGAGTCTCGAGCACTTTGGGCTAATGAGAAAGGATCTCGCCATGTTTAGCAGAACCAACCAATTTTTAACTTACTCCTTAGGCTAAAAACTCACATGGAGCAAAGAACTTTTATTTCAGATTTTTTGCTGTTTCCAGCAGTTTTATAGAGAATAATCGATTATCCCTATGAGAGGCTGGTTGATGCCAATATGACTATTAACTTAATTAAACTATTGAATATTTCCGTTTACCGAATATTTATTCTTCAAAAACCGAATTTATCTCCAAGTATATTGCAAGGTCGCTGATGTTAGCTTCCAGCTAAGTTTTAACAGGCAGTCTTCAGTGTTTATCGATAGTCGTTGCTCTCTTCTGCCAAGAGAGAGAGAGAGAGAGAGAGAGAGAGAGAGAGAGAGAGAGGAGAGAGAGAGAGAGAGGAGAGAGAGAGAGAGAGAGAGAGAGAGAGAGAGAGAGAGAGAGAGAGAGTGAGAGAGAGAGAGAGAGAGAAAGAGAGAGAGCGAGAGAGGAGGCATCGCTGAAAGAGAGTTAACATCCGCATATGTAAACCACAAATTTGTTTGTAGTTGGCGTCACAATTCAATTTGTTTAAATTGTGCCTTTATTTATTTAGTGTTTTGTTAAACAATTTACAATAAACGCGGCTGCTTCCCGTTATTTTGCTAGCCTAAAAAGTCGCGATATACGAGTACACCCCAAATCGAAGGGCAATAGATTCTAGAAACTAGAAGCTGCTATCCTGCGATCCTGCGATCCAGCGATTGCTCTGCTCAAATACATAGATAAGTGCAATACATTTAGCTATGCTTAGCACGACTGATTTCTATACCCTTCTAGAGGGTACATTAATTTCTTTTTTAATTGTCTGTTATGGCTGCTGTTAGTTATTTGTGCATTCGCTTTGGCATTTGCGCTCACCCGACATTTATGACTACTTTGGGCTTACATAGGGGCAAGTAAATGTAAGTAAATCAATGAATATACAATTAACAGCGAATTAATACAAAACTTCAAATTGCTTTAGTAGTTTTTTTTTTTGTTGTTTTTAGTTATTTTTTGTATAGTTTTTTCTAACGTTCTCGCGCATGTGGTTCAAGTAGTTACGCGTATTTACCTTTATAATTCCTAGCTTTTCGGCTTATTTGTATTTGAGTGAACGGTGGGCAATAAAGGAAACAATAAAAGAGAGTGTCAATAGTGTAGCAACATTTTTCATTTGAGAATGCAAATCAGCACAAATAACAACATAAATAACATAGATCATGTAATTAAAAGCCAAATCCAACAACATTAAACTTTTATATTGTTTGTATCTAGTTTTACTTGACTTTTATTGGCGGCTATGCTCTTTAAGTTTTTACTTCTAATGTACGCTTTTTCATTTTTTTTTTGTTTTCTTTTTTGTTTTGTGTAACTTTTTGAAATTGATTTAAATTTGACTACCGACACACAGATGCACATTGAGATTGTACTTGAATACAATATGATATAATTAATAATTATTTGGTTGCTGCTTTTGTATTTGTTTAAAATTAGACACCGTTTACAATTACAAACATACAATAAATACAATACAATTACATACACAACGAATTTTGGGTTTTCTCTCTACCGATTTATAATTTATAATTGCCGCCTACAAGTATGCAACATTTTGTGTATTTTCTCGCCTCTGCTCTTTTCTAGTCTGGTGCACAGAGGCGATTGTGTGCTTGTGTGTGTGTGTGTGTGTGTGTGTGTGTGCGTGCGCGACGTATGTGTTCTGTGTATACTTGATTCGCTACAAGTAGCTCTAAATCTGATTTCTACTCCGACTTGCTCGGCGCGCTATGTTATTACATATGTAATATATATACTATTCTAAGTATTACATATGCATGTATGCTGTTATGTATGCATGTGCTTGTGTGTATCTGATTAGAGGTTGACGCTTTTCTCTAGCTCAGGCGTGGGCGTGGCGCAGTTTACATCGATCGAAGCTGTCGAAATAAGCGATTGAGATGGCGTTACATTGATTGTTTGCCCTACCATCAAGCATGTAGCTCAGATACGCTGAGCCTCTGGTAACTATGCCGATTGTTACCTGCCCTCTCTTTCTTTCCTTCTCTCTTTCTTTTTACACGTCATTTTGTCTCGCTTACCAATTCCCCTTTGTCCCCTATTTGTCTATCTAGCGTATGTAAAGCTCTCTTTAGTAAGTGTCCTTATCTTTTTTAATATTGCATCTATCTCTCTCTCTCTCTCTCTCTTTCTCTCTCCCTCTTGGGTCTAGCCTCTCGCTCTAACTGCCGCTCTCTACACTCAAAATTGTATCTTAAAAGCAACTGATCTCACAAGCACACACACATACATACACATGCACACAACACACGATGCACGCAGAGGCGCTCGAAAATATGAAAATGCCATTTTTGGCTTCTTTTGGATTACATAACATTTTAGAATTTCTTTAAGCTTTTAGTTTTTGTTGCGTTTGGCGATAAGGGAACATAAAGGAACGCATTGCGAGAAGAGCTGTATGTCTGTCAATGGGACTTAAGAGAGAGCGAGTACTTAGTCAATAACTAGCGAGTATAAAAAAAAAAACGCGTAGCGTGTTTGTTCTATGACTTGAATTGATTGATTCGATTGTACAGTTAGATTGACTTCTCAAATGCTGAACGCTGATAGCTTTGTAACATGCTAATACAAGTATAAGTTTAAGTATAAGTATAGGTATAAGTATAAGTTTAAATATAAGTATAAGTACTCGGTATGTACTCGGTTCTCAGTGGTAGTTGGTTTTGTTTATATTATGTTTTGTTTTGTTTCGTTTTGTTTTTGTTTTAGTTTTAGTTTTATTGTTTTATGCTAATTACCTTAGTGATTATTTTTATGTATGTATGTTTGTTTGTTTCGATTTGGTGTTATTGGTTACATTTTGACAATTGCGTAGTATGGCTGTTTATTTGTTTACTTGTTTATTTGATCGATTCATCTAGGATGCAGCATCCTGCGATGCACCCTTTCGCGACGGTTATTTAATTTGTAATCTAACTTTCGCTGCTGCTTTCTATTTCGAAAAGCACGTGGCAGTTTATTCAGTGGTGTTTTCGTTTCGATAAGATTTAAGACAAAGGACGAGAGTTTCGAATTGGATTCGATGAAGGTAAGCATCAAAGGAAGGGGCTAGGAATGGTCCTGGGTCCTGCGTTCTGGGTTCTGTGTTCTGGGCATTAGGAGTACGTATCGTTGCACGGGCGACACTTCAATTTAACGGTTAACAAAACGACGTTAAGAACACACGCGACCTAGTGGCAATAGGCAGGCTATTATTTAATAATAAGTAACAACGTTTAATATACATCAAAGTATGCGTCCAAACACGAGCACTACAGTATAACACACACATAACTTCCATCCGACTGTCGTCCGTCCTGGCACCAACCGCCATCCAAGAATTAACACACAAAAAGTCGGCTCAGCCCGCGCCAAAGCCGAACGCCGCGACAGGCAATTCACGCATATCTCAACGTTTTACGCCAAAGAGATTGGGTATTGACTTGATCTTTTTGCGGGAGCAGTTGACGTAATCCTTGTACATGTCGGAGCGCAGATAGCGCGAGTACGAATCGCTCTTCATCAGATGATACACATGCGAGGCGGCCACATCGAAGCACCAGCGATTCGGACCATTGGGCGAATTGACGGCTTCGCGGGCCAACTCCACGGATTTGGAGTCCACGTTGACCGGACAGGGCGCATCGGGTGCGAGGAACTCTTGCCAAATCTTGTGTATGGCCTCCTTGATTTCGGACTGTGGCAACGCCTTCATCTCTTGCACCGATTCCCAGAACCTGATCAAGATTACAATTACAAAAGAAACAACATCATTAACTCCGATGCGTGAGTGTTGTGAATTGTGTAGCTCACTTGAGATTCTCGCCACTGTACTCCTTTTCCAGAAACTTGGTAAACTGATCGCGTCCAATACCATCGTTAAGCAGCTCGCGCAGGCTAAATGCCCATCTCTTGACCCGACGCACAGGAACATCTTTGCTGCTTGGAGAGACAGAGAGACAGGGCTCAATGTTAATTCGACTGGCCATATCTTGGGGGCCCTGATGCTGACGCTTACCTATTCTTTTCGGTATCCCACATCTCGGTGCTGTCCGTTTGCCAGGGATTGGGTAGCTCCGGCGAGGTTAAAAAGTAATCGAACTCATTGTACTGATCGTAGTAGGCAACCAAACTGCAGTAAGGAACAAAGCTAAAGAAGTGCCAACCGGCGTTGGTCGAGCTACTGGCTATACTCACGCTTCGGCCGCCTTGGACACTTTGATTGTGCGCCGTTCGAGCTTCTGTTTGCGCAGCGTAATGATGCGCGTTAGCTGCTCGACGGGATTTTTAGCCACAGAAGCGCCAGCGGATCCGGTTCCATGACTAGAGCCGCCGCGTCGATACGCCTTCTTGATATCTATCTCGGTGGTATTGACACAGCCCGGCATTGGCCGATGCACATCCCAAAAGGCGCGCTCTTGCGAATCCAGTACCTTGCGCTCCAGTTTGTCGCGCTTCTTAGCCACCTTGCTCTGTGACTCGGCCTGGCAGTTGCAAATAGAATATGGGAATGAGCTCAACATTGGATTAGCCATTTGACCTACCTGCATAAATATGAATTCCCATTTGCGTGAGAACATCTTCTGCAGCTTGGCCAGGTTCTCGGCCTCGTAGTCCGCCAACTCCAAACGCGTCTTGTTTTGCATGGTACGTTTGCACAGATACACCGCATAGTCGGTGTTCTCCGGCTCCCAGCAGTTCGATGGCCAGAAATATGGCGTCTGGAATCTAAAGCCACAACCAAAGATCGACATTGGATGTCATTTGTCTAGCGCCTCAAAGTATGCAGTGCTTACTCACCTGTAGAAAGTGCCATCGTTTTTCACGGTCAGCGCATGATCATCAATGGGAAAAATGTAGCCATGTGAGCTAAGCAAATGGGCAAAGTGCAGCGCCTCCGTCACGTCCTCCACATCGAAGTTCTTCAGTATCCAGGCAACCAGATCGGCTCCGGTAAATACCGATGGCACCTTGCTCATAAACGCCTTAACCGTGCGCACAGCCACACCGCCCGTCTCCGCCTGCATTTTCTCAATGATGGCCTCCATCTGGAATTGTACACAAATATTTGCCCCATTAGATACTTATGTTCTACAAGACCAAGGAAAGAAATGCGGAAATGTCGCCGAACATAACATGGTTTCATCATGTTAAATTTAAATTTAACATAACTGTTGCGTGCATAAATTTAACATAACAGCCATAATACTGTTAATAGCATTTCCAAATGTAATGTGTATGTAGTAACATAATGTTATTCTGTTAACATTAGATCATTGTGAACTATTTGATTTTGTATTGGGCATTACAGTTTTCTTAGAAAATGAAACCTGGTGACGAATGTATATTTCTGATTAGAAGGCTGAGCTTAATTGATAAATCGTGTCAAAGATTTTATGGAAACGGTACTAAAACTTGACATAGAATATGTTATCCGAGCAATTGACTGTTCTCTTTTATTTAAGTTATAGATAAAGCTTTAGTTTATGAACTATTCAACTTCAACTGGACAATACTAGGTCCATACCATACTATACATTTTTTGATAAACCGAAAAGTTGTAAGCTTCTATATGATTTCAAAGGATCGCGTTATATCCCATAGGAGCCATCTGATATCTGAATAGTCCGATTTGATACGGTTTTGTAGATAAAGGAATATTGATGCTCTTAAGAACTCATTTTGGAGAAGATAGGCATATATATCGTAGTCCGATGTCGATAAGAAGCATTATTCAACTAAGTATGTTCATGATTTGATTTTTTGATTTGATTTTGATTTGATTTTGCCTATAATAATTGAATTTTCGATCGATTTTTCCTATAGCAGCTATATAGTATGGTGATCCAACAAGGCTGATGCAAGGTTTCATGGCGAACACATTAAAACAGAGCCTAGCTTGGATATCAGCAAACAGATGGAGACTGATTATGATAATGTGTATATACATATGTACATCATGGGGTCGGGCACGTCTCCTTTGAATTGTTCAATCAAATTTAGAACAATTCTTAGAATAATACGATTTCTATTTTAAGAATCCATGCAAATGTTTATGTAGTTTTCCAAATATCTGGCGTATTCCCAGAACTGGAACGCTAATATTTCGTAAGGGCTGATGTTTACCAACTAGATCTATAATAGTATGCCTTTTAGTAGAGTACGCACCTTTTTATAGACCAGTATATTGGGCGCATCTTCGTTCTTGTTGCCCCGCTGATGCTGATGCGGCTGCTGCGGCACGGACGGCGCTGGCGGTGGCTGCGGCTGTGCCGACTGTGACTGCGATGGGGCTGGCGACTGCGACTGCGACGGCGACGGCGACTGCGACGGCGAAGATGACGGCGAGGAATGATGATGATGGTGATGATGATTGCTGCCCACGCTGAGCAGGCCACTTGACTTGGGCGCAGATGTGCCGCTGCAACTCGGCGCCGTTGCATCCCGGATGCTCACCGTCTTGCTGGACAGCGGCGGCGTTGCAGCTGCCACAGTGGTTATGCAGTTGTGGCTGCTGCTGCAGCTGCTGCCGCTGCCGCTGCTAACCGTGGCCGCGACGCTGACTGTTATCGTGGTGCTGGTCGCCTCGCTGCTGCTGTACGCATTGCCACTGTCCGGCTGTTCAGGTTCTGCCTCAGTGGTAGCTAGAGGTGCACATGGAGATTCGGATGCGGATGCGGATAAGGCTGCGGCTGCGGCTGCGGATGTAGTTGCCATTACTGTTGCCGTTGCCGTTGGAGCTGCCGTTGATGTTGCAGTTGGTGTTGCAGGAGCATTGTTGTTGCCATTTGGCGCTGACGCTGGCGTTACCGTAGATATTGACGCTGGACTGTTATCCGTTACCCCTGTTGCCGCTTCGGATGCTGCTTCTGGCGAAGGTGTTGGCGTCGCTGTCGCTGCTGGCGTCTTGGGCGCGCTGCTCATGGCCAGCGCATTGGTTGCTTGCGTGCTACTCTGTGTTTTGTCCGCCTCCGAGTTCATTGTTACCATTGTACACCTGCCGCTGCTGGTTTCGGCGCTTCTTCAAGCTATTTATAGGCAGTCTCAGGTGCTATTTTGGCCCTGCTGCCCGTTATGCCGTTATGCTTATGTGTATCCTTTTGCGTGCGTTATCGACCCTACTCTGTGCCTCTTCGCGTCCGTGTAAGCGTTGTCTGCGTGTGTGTGTGTGTGCGTGTGTGTGCGTGTTTATATGTGTGTATGCTGTATACCGACAGCGCCAGGCAAAATGGTGCAGCTCCACTCGAAATAGATTTCAATTGCGTTTCGTCATTTATCCAGCTCCATATTTTTGCATCGCTCGCCGCACTTGTCTTCTGCTCGGCGGGGGCGCCACTTCAGCCACTTTTGCCTTTTTGCAACGTTTGCGCTTTTCGCTGCCGCTTGCTATCACAATTTTCGCTTGCATAAAAAAAGCGCAGCTGAAGCGCTCAACGCGCGCACATACATACAAACGCACGCACGCACTCACACACACACACGCACGCACACACACACACGCACCCGCACGCAGGCCACGTACACGTATACGCACTAACACAGACGCTCTTTGACACTCCTGAGCAAAGCAAGTGCGCAATTTTTACGTTCAATAACTTTTCAAATGAATTATTTAGTATTGCATACACCGAAAATTGTTATAAATTTCAGTTTTGCTCCTTTTGCTCGAGTCTCTGGCTGCTGCTGCTGCTGGTGCTGCTATTGCTACTGAAACTGACTCTGCTGTTGCTGCTGTTGCTTCTTCTTCTGCCTTGACTTTAGCTGCTTCCTCTTTTTGGCGTTAGCCTGTAATCATTTTACTGCTGCCAGGAGGGGGCGCACGGTGGGCAGGGTAGGCCAAAGTCAATTCAAGTGCCTCTGCGTACGTCGTGTGCGTCGTTCACGTTCTCGTCGCGGCTTCGTGCCTTATTATGAGGCGCTTCCTGTAGTCGATTGGCTGTTGCAATCGATTTTTGTTTGCCCAACCTCCTACCACCTACCTCACAAATACACACACACACACACACACGCGCGCATACAACACATGCACATACAACACAGGCACGCACCAACATACACCCACATAAGCACGCCCACACACAATGACGCGAGTGGGCTCTCCTTCTCTCTAACTCTCTTTTTGTCGCTCACGCTCTCTCTCTGTTCTTATTGCTCAGCAACAGCTGTTGTCAGTGCGCAAGGGCTGGTTGCTAAAAGCAATGCGTTGGCATGGTCACACCGGCAAATATGAATTTGTAATTGCTTTATTTAGATGAATACGATTTTCGGCTACGCTTATTTGTAAACAATTTTGTTATAGCTAACAAAAAAAAAAATGTACATACAAAATGTATAATATATGTATTTATATATATGCTGCCTATTATTGTTTTCTATATACGTTTTATTGATGGGGTTTCACTTGAAGCTCTGCCAGTTGCTCATGTGCTTCAAATGAATTTATAGTGAACTTATTATTATGGCTTTTATACAAATTTGCGTTTGAATTTTGCTGACAATTATATAACTTGAAAATCAACGTAGTTAATTATGGTTATTTGATAAGCTTATAAACAGGATAGTTTAAAACAGTATTCATGATTTTGTATGCATATTGCTGCACAATTTAGATGCTAAGTAAAACAACGGATCCCTTACGGTTCTGCTGCCCTTCTTTAAGACTAAGTTTTGCGTAGGCGTCCAAATAACGCGTTACTCGTTTATTTGGCGTACACAAATCGTACATGTCGTATCCTTAACGTATTTACACAAGCTTATCAATATGAATACGTTCGTATTCCGAAATGTATATGTATGTATGTATGTTTGTAGTTATGCTTTATATATTTATATATAAATATGCATGTATGTATGTAGCATACATAGCTTGTGCAGGCAATTTGGCCACATCAAAATAATGGTGCGTAATTCTTGTTCTTGTATTCGATTGGGCTGCAAAAGACAAACAAACGACAGATGTGACCAGAGCTGTATTCATAATAATTATAGTTGAGTAGAGGGTGGCTCGTTGCCAGGGCTGCAGACGCACCGAATGATTTGAATGAAATTACGGTAATTGCGAGAATTCCACTTGCCAAAGGGGATTCGTAGCATTGAAACATCCCATCTCTGTACACTTTCAGCGTCGTCTATAGTTTGTGGATTGACATTGACTATTTCATCTAAGCAGCTCCGTGGTCTGAGGATTTGCTTGGATTCGATTGCGGGATTGGCTCGGCTAACGGCTGTTCTTTAAGATCACATTTTGACACTGACATCGACGATTGTCGTTGGCTCCTATATCTCCTGTTTCGTTTCGTGCTCCTCTCCTTGCTCCTTTAGGCCTGCTCCTGCAGCTGAGCGCGCGACTGTCGCACCGGCCTGTCCGACCAGAGCGATGCCTGGCCGCCGTTCTGCGCCTGGTAGGACAGAGGCGGGGGCCCCAGTTGTGCCTGGGGCACCAGCTCCGCCTGCGGATTGAACTGATTGTTGCTGTTGTAGTTCACCAAAATGTCGCTGGCCAGGCTGTGGCCAATGTTGACGCCACGATCGGGATAATATTGCTGCTGTGGCTGCGGTTGCACTTGAATTTGTTGCTGCTGCTGCTGTTTGTTGCTCTGTCGCCAGTGCTTGTGCTGCTGAACGGGCAACAGGCGGTACAGGGGCTCCGATGCGGGCCCGCTCGGGTAGCTGGGCACAAAGTACGGCGGATACGAATGCTTGGCGCTGCCGTGGCGCAAACGCTTGAACTGCGGCGCTGGCGGCGGTGGCGGCGGTGGCGCTGCGGGACGCTGCCAGAACTGCAGCGGCGCGGGTGCCGGCGGACGCAGCTGGTATTTGGCCGGACGGGGCTGCAGCTGATTGTCCAGATAGGTGGGCGGCGTGCTGTAAACGCCCTGCTGTCCATCGTACGGCCCGGGCCCGGGCGCTGGCGAAGGCGACTGCAGCTGCAGCTGCAGCTGCTGCTTGCCCACCCGCAGTTGGCGCTGACGCTGCAACAGCAGAGAATCCGGCAGATATGAGTCCTGGTCCTGTGCCGGCTGTATGGTTGGCTCCAGTTGTAGCTGCAGCTGCTGATGCTTGCCCACTCGCAACTGGCGCTGGCGCTGCAGCTGTAGCTGCTGCTGGGGCTGCTGCTGCTGGGGCTGGGGCTGGGACTGGGGCTGGGGCTGATAGACTATTGCCTTGAAGGCATTCTGATCGTGCTCGTCGGCGCTGTAGTTGACCATGGGCAGAAAGGGTTGCCTGTCGAAGTCGGGCGGCTGGAAGCGGCCAGTTGCCGGCGGCGCGATCAGATTGCTTCTGATCAGTTGGCCCAGAGCCGCATCGTACTCCGAGTGTAGCTGGACACGTGGTTTGGGCGTAATGCTCACCACGGCGACATCGTTGACGGGACTCGGAGGGGATTTGTAATGCGGCCGCTTGGGCGGCTTGGTGCCCAGGAAGTCATTGATCACATTGGACTTGAGGGAGGATGGCTGCCGTTTGGCCTCAAAGTATTCATAGTAAATCGGATTTGATTTCGAGAGCGGTGCCTGCTCACGATCCCGATCCCGACCTCTCTCCCTCTCCCTCTCCCTCTCCCTTTCCCTGCTCCTCTCCCTCTCCCTATCTCCAGCGCTCAAGCTGCGTTCCGTGCTGCTCAAACTCGGCACAAAGACCAGCTGTGCGGCTGGCTGTGGCCGCGGCGTCGTCGCCTGATAGTTGACGGGATAAATGGGTATGGGCACAGCCACGGGCACTGGCACGCGCTCCACATACTTGTTGGGCTGACGCGGCGCGGGCGGCAGGTAGCCAATGGAATTGTACTTGACCGACAGCCGCGACGGTGGAGCTCGTGTGCTGCTTGTGCTTGTGGTGGTTGTGGTTGTGCTGCTGCTGGTGCTGGTGCTGGTGGTGGTGCTGCTGGTCGGAGTGGTGAAGGGACGTCGCGTTGTCGTCGACGTTGTCGTCTCCAGCAGACTAAAGTGATCCGGCGGCGGTGGCAGCACTATGCCCGGAACCAACGGACCCGGCGGCACCGGATTGGAATAGTTGCTCCTATACACAAAGTTGTACGCGGGCGGATAGTACAGCGAGGGATCGTCTTCGTCAAAGTCGCTGATGTTGCCGTGCAGGGCACCCGGACCGGAGGCATTGCCGTTACCGTGCAGGCCATTGATTATCCAGGGACCAAGCAGCGGAGTCCTTAGCACAGCATTGGGCGCCGGACTGGCAGGCGTATGGGCCGGCGTCTCGTTGTTGGAGAGCAGCCAGGGCGCATAGGGCGTCGGGTAGACGTAGCTGGGCTCCGGGTCAGCTGCCTTAGCCGACGCAATCGCTCCCGTCCGGGCAGCAGGATGCGACCCCGGGCCGTGGGCAGCTCCGTGGACTTGGCCGTGGGACGCGTGCTGACCCACAGCGGATAGCGTTGCATTGCCAGCTGTCGTATGGAAGCCCTCGATTTGATTATCTCGGATAAGCTGCAGTGGCCCATGCGGCTCGAGCTGCACGGGAAATGGAGGCGGCACCACGGGATTCGCTGGCAGCTTGATCTGTCGTGGCGGCGCATCGTAATCGTCAATGGCTGGCCAGGCATCAGCGCCGTCGCCATCGCCCTCGGCCTCATTCAGACCGCCGCCTTTGATGACCAGCAAATGATCCTCGGCCAGCCAAATGTCCTGCTCGCTGAGCCCACCGAAGTTGCGCTCATTGTCCAGTGGCACCTCCGAGTTGCGGGCATAGCTCAGCACGCCCGGACGCTTGGGCACGCGGCGAAAGAGCTCCTTCTCGATCAGACCGTACTTGCCATCGCGCACCTGATCCGCGAGCGTCTTCTTGGCATCCTCCTTGCTCTGCTTGCTCTGGCCTTTGGCGCTGGCTGCCTCCGCCTCCTCCTTGCCCGAGCCGGCACTCAACCGCAGTATGCCATTGTCCCAGTTGTCAAAGTCATCCGGTTCATTAAGCAGCGCCTCGTCATCGTCCTGGTCCCGCTCTGGCGCTGGCGATGGCGATGGCGACGGTCTGGCCAGGCGATAAGTGCTGCTCGCCTTGCGACGTGTTGTTCTCGTGCTTGGGCTTTTTGTTGTTGTTGTTGTTGCTGTTGTTGTGGTTGTTGTTGCTATTCCAATGCTCCTGCTGCTGTTGGCGCTCACCGCAGACACCTCATAGGTAGAGTGGCCCTGCGCGTTGTGAATGTGGCCAGCCACCAGGCGCTGGATCATGCGCGGCCTGCGAACGATAACAAGACACACAATTAGACGCCAGAGAAGAGGGGGAAGCTGCAACTGCAACTGCAACTGCGGCATGATGCATTAATCAATGGCGGCGCCCAAAATGGGCAGACGCCAAAAACTGCCGCCAAGAAAAAAACAGAAAAAAACAAAAAACACGGGAAAAAAACCAACTTCAAACTGGAAATAAACGCGTGACAGACACGAGCTGAAAATTAATTAAAACTATTCTGTTTACAACATTTACTTTCATTTTTCAGTTCCATAAATATTTTCTTTTTAACAAATTTTGAATCAATTTGCTTCAATCGAAATCAGACTAGACATAAAGATTCGCATTTTCATATATATATATGTATGTATATATATATGCATATATATTCAACTAGCCTTGCCAACGATCCGATCGGCTTCAGGCTCATTTTCAAAGATCTTTGTGTGTTTTCATTCTTCACACTTTTCGGAAAATCCACGCATCTGGGTGGAAAATGGTGTCAACAATTGTAAAAGCAAAGTTCTGGCTTCTAACTGATTTTCAAACTTTGTGAAAAAATCATGCTCGGAAAATGGTTGTACAAAGTTGTATAGGTAAATGTTTAAGTCTCGTTCAATCGACTTTGGGCTTATTTTCAAAGATCTAAAAACATGTCGAATCCAGCTCACAGCAATTTTAGAAAATTCACTTTCAATGTCGGAAATGCCTACTATTCAAAATGTCGCACGTTTTGTAGAAACCACCGCCTTCGGTGGAAAACGAAGGATTTCATTTGTATTAGTTAAAGTTAGTTTTGCTCAGCTATTCCTTAAATTCTCGATATTATAAACGAATGAATATCGGAGAAGAGCTACGTAAGTTAGTTTCCCAATTTGTGAGCTCCACTTAGAAGTTATGTCAGTTTAAAGGCGACTCGTAATTGTGTCGGGGATGCATCTGCAACAAGAAATAAATCAGGCTATACAAAGTAGAAAGACTCACGTTTTGAGGGCGCCGCTGCGCGACGAAGCATTGAAGACGGCGAGTGGATTGGAGGACGCCGATGACAACGCTTGATGTGACTGGAGCCTTTGGTTGCGGGCGTTTCCATCGCTCCCAGCGCTCCCAGCGCTGGCCTCGCGCTCGCCCAGCGTTGGCGTTGGCGTGTCGCGTGGCTGGCGGGCGGCTCTGATGCTGCCACGGTTGCTGCCGCTGGTGCGTACATAGCTGCCGGCAGATGCTGGCGCCGCAGTTGTCGTTGTTGTTGTTGCCGTTGTTGTTGTTGTTGCTGTGGTGAAACGACGTCGCTGCTGTCGCGGCGTCGCCGGCAGCGGCGTGGTGCTGCTGCCGCGGTAACCGTTGCCATCGTCAATGGACAGCGTTGTGGGCAGACGCCGCTGGCGTGGCGCGCGCAATGTGGGCGCCTGCGTGCTGGTCGTCGATGGGGCTGGCGCGCCGCCGGCTGCTCCTCTGCCACGCTGCACAGGCGAACGTGTGGCCGCTCCCTCTGCTGCCGCTGTAATCGCTGCCGCCGCCAGCAGCGTTATTACTATCAAGTGCAAGGTTAACGATGTCATCTGTGAGTACAAAGAAAGAGTCATAAATAATCGACACGCTAACGGTAATCGCAAGCACGCTACCCTGTAATTTTCGAGGCAAAGTGTTTCTTAAATCTATCGCCTGGCAGAGACTTTGCCGATACTTCAGTTTCAGTTCCTAACTCTTTTATACCCTGAACTCTTTTTATACCCCACAGGCAATAGGCGATAAATACGTTGTAAGAGAATTACGTTTAAAATAAGCGTGACTTAAGGTCACATCATTGGTCATAACATCCAAAGTCTAACTAGATCGAGCCCTCTTTTAATTAAGTTTAATGTTCCGTTTATCGTTTGAATGCATCGCCTTAAGTTTGGATTTGAAGCATGGTTCATCATAATTCTATGGGCTAACTTTATTCATTTAAAATTGATTGCAATTTATGTATTTTAATGCTCATTACGCTGAAACTGAAAATGTTCCAATACTTTATTTAAGTTTCAATTTAGCCACAAGCTATTTTGGCTTAAATCATTTTTGATATGCACTCGGCCGTGCTTGATTCGCCCTGGTATATGCTAAGTGCATCGAGTGCTGCATTTAACCAACGCGATATACCCACTTGTCCCCATATTGTACAGGGTACAACTAGGATTAGGTTGGCGGCAGTTGCATGCGCGTTCAGCTAACATTCTGCAGAGTCTGCTCGCTCCTCTCCTCTCCATTCCATTCCATTTCATTTCATTTCGTTCCATTTCATTCCATTTCATTCCAGTTCATTTCATTTCGTTCCATTTCATTCCATTTCATTTCATTTCATTTCATTTCATTCCATTTCATTTCATTCCAGTTCATTTCATTTCATTCCAGTTCATTTCATATCATTCCATTTCATTTCATTCCATTCCGTTTCATTACACGTAACCCAACACCAACCCGCGCATCTTTGATGTCGCTGCGCTTAAGTGCATCCTGCAAGATATTTGCTGGATTTGTTGTTGTTGTTGTTGTTGTTGTAGCAAGCTTTGCGCACGCGCCAAATTTCAGCTGGCAATTGGTGTGTTGTTATTGTCTGCTTTGGCTGTTTCTGCGCTCATGTTAATTAGCTTCGCTCAATTGATAAATGGCCAAAAGCGCGCCTGCTGCTGTTGCGGTTGTTTTCGATTGTTGCAGCTCTTTTTTTTTAAACTCCGCTCCGCCTCTCAGCCTCTCCGCCTCTCCTCCTCGCCGCTGTCGATGATTTGTGGGGGCGCATATTTCAGTTGCGTCTCAGTTTTGGGCTGCGATGCGGCGATGAAGCTCCATTGAGCACACTGACTGCAATTGATATTGTATTCAATTGAAGACCTGTTTTGGTATTTATTTACGCTTTTCTTGTACCTTGTTGTGGGATCTATTGTTTGCAGCTTTAACTAGCGCAAGCATAAATGCGCAAGAATATCTGTTTAGTTATATCCCAATTCCAGTTGCAAATCTGGTAAAATTTGATCAAATTCAAGAGAGAAACTAGATGAAAAATTGGCATCAGCTGAGAGCTTCTACATTTACTAAAAACAATTATTCTAGATAATTTAAAAAAAAAATTGACAAAAGATATTGTTAAGCTGATTTTTAGTATAATAGCAAATGTAAAAAACATAAGTATATCTAGGAAACAATATTAACTAACTTTTAATTCTAGACTTAAAAAGTTGTTTATTTAAAAGTCGAAAATACCAATCATCTAATTCTAGAAAATACCAAAAAAAAAAAAAAAAAAATGGAGTCTCAATCATTTTGTAAGCTCGATAAACGAATATTCCAGGTTTCTAGAATGCGTCTCGCTTTAAAAACTAGTTCAGTCCATTGAGGACTTGCCAAATAACATGCCAGGCAATTTCACTGCAACTGCAATTGAGGTTGATTTACTGGCTCAAGTTAGCCAAGTTAACGATTCAATGCGAATTCCGAACATTTCAAATGCCTTTTGTGCGGCAACAGTGCAGAACAATCAAATTATAATACTTATAAAAACAAAAACAAAAAAAATAAAAAAAATGTGAAAAAATGTTAAAAATGAATTGGGTCCAATTTAATCTATGACACCATCGCCCCGAACTGCTTTCAAATAAACTAATTAAATTGAAGTAAAGCAACAAAATAACACAACAACAAGTACAACAACAACAACAACAACAACAACAGCAGCAGCAGCAGCAGCAGCAAAAATAAGGCGCAGGCAGTCAGCGGCTGCAAAAACAAGCGACTACAAAGAATTATTTATTGCCAATAGACGACGCCGCAGTCGTCGTCGCCGTCGCCGTCGACGTCAGCGTCGGCGTCGGCGTTGCCTTTCATTCAAAATGCAAAGCGCTCTGCAAAATCAAGTTAGCTGGGCAGCGCCAGCAAGGCTTGGCCTGGAACGGCTTGGAACATGGAACGCGAAACGTGGAACGTGCGGCTCTATGACGAATCTGACGCGACTGCGCAGCCACTACAAACACCGTTAGGCAGCGGCAAGCGCGCGCACGCGAACGGTTTTATGTTTTATGGTGTACCCTGTGCCAATACAATGACTGTGAAAGGGTGTATTCAGTCAGCAGGAGACATACTAGTATAAAAGTCAAAGTTACGTAATAAGCATTAAATTATATTTAAATCATTAAACCTTAACAAATTTCAAACGAACTGAATTAAAAAAAAAAAAAAACCAAAAAAAAATCGGTATACAAAAATCAAAAATTGTAGCACACTAATATTTGTGTATATTAATAAGCGCTTATGCTTTTCTACAGGGTGTACGCAAGTCGAGCACCTACGAAACAAACAGTTTTTTTTACTCTATTACTGTCTTGTATTTCGCGTTAGGTATTTTTTTTTTTGCTCGGTTTTTGGTTTTTGTTTTACTTTTGATTGCCAAACAACAATTTGGGTGCTGTTGTTGTTGTCGCTGGTTCTACGTATTAACAAAAAAAAAAAAAAAAAAACGCTGGACAGGCGCAGGCGCTGGCGCTGAGGCTCGCGTTGGCGCATTCCGTTGCCTCGAATCCAGTTACGAATCACGTTCCATTTGATTGTTTCAGTTTTTGGGGTTTTGCCTTTTATAGTATAATTTTTGTTATTGTTGTTATTTTTTTCTGTTTGGCTGCACTTTGCATCGTTCGCGTTGCTGCTGCTGTTGTTGTTGTTGTTGTTGTTGCTTTATTATTATTTTTGGGCTCGGCAACTGCGCCCACAGTGCGACGCCGGCGCCTGCACTTGGAAACACTCCAAATCCAAAACCAAAACCAAAACCAAAACCCAAAACAACTTCAAACTCCAAGTCTTCAACCTGTCGCTTGAAGTTGGCCAATTAGACACGATCGCAGCGCGTATGAGTCAACCATCAACAACAACAACAACAACAGCAACAACGACTACAAAATTGACAACAAAAGTAAAATGTTATTTATGATTTTTGATTTCAATTTGTTGTCCTTGATTTGGGTTTGGCATTCTACGTTTTCGCCTCTGTCTCTATGTGAAGGCGTTAATGATTTGGGCGTCTGGTGGAGGCCAAGCCAGGAGAATGATGGAGTGTGGCCGGTTGGGAGAAGGGTGCTGCGTGGGCAGAAAACGGTGTTGAAAACCACACAAGAAATGTTGCCCAACTTACAAACGTATTTCGTTGCTTAACATACTATTGAATATGCCTGCAATTTTACAGCACTAGACCAAGAATCGTTATTAATATTTGTTTGTTTTGCAACACTTCCACTTCGGCAAATGGGGTATTGATAGAAAGAACATGGAGCAGGTCGCTGTGATAATCATATTAATTACCTTTAAAATGTATTAATATTTCCAAAAAGAAAAAGGATTGCAACACGTTTCTAAATAAAAGCCTTTAATTGAAGTTTCCAAATACCACACCGAGAACCATCTTTAATATTTGCTGCCTTCGCAACACTTCTCCACAATTTTGTAAGCGCACGTTTATGCGCACTGAAACACCAATAAGTACTGACATCTGTTGTGGCATTCACATAGCTTTTAGTTTTCAAAATCTGAACAAAGACAAACCCATTTATAATTTGGAAAGCCAATGTACGCTCTGCTCTAATTAATGTAACCCGTACATTAGCACAACAATTGATATCAAATTTCGGCGCTTTCAACATTACTTGCAGGAAGTCAGCCACAATTTGGGGAACCCACCCCGAAAGTTGTATTAATAGACCAAAATTTCAAATAATAAAAACAATATTTTCATTCAAATTCACGCTATTTATTGTATTTACCAATTGGAGCAAGCTAAAGATTAACAACAAAAATCCACAATTTTAGCTAATTACAAAAGCTGCATTAAGATTAAATAAACATAAGCTGAATAGAGAGATTGGCTTGCAAATAAACCAATAAACAGTAACAATAAGAAAATTGCTCAAAAGGCAAGAAAATTTCTCGCTTTTATTTTGGGAATACAATTTTTAGAAGTTTCAGCACACTATTGCTAACATTTGAATGTTTTGCAACACTTTTGTGCTTTGTATTGTAATCATAATTGCTTTAAACAATTTATTTGATTTATTCGAATTTGGAATATATAATTTATGTACAGTTTGCCTAATGCCAATATAAGTTGATCTACGGTGGACCCACCAGCAATTTTCAACTTTGGACAATGCCTAAGCAGTGTTGCCACATCGCCGCAATTTGATAGCATTCGCGTTTACACTTGATTGAGCTTAGCGTAACTTATGGGCCATAAACTTAAAAAAAGAACTCTAAAACAAAAACGAAATTCAAATGCAAAATACAATAAATTGAGAAAGAACATTAAGTTAAAGTAATGCTGACGTTTCAATACCCTTCCATATGGTGGAATAGAGGATTGCGCTTTGAATCAAAATGTACCCGCCCTACGAGACAGTGTTAAGCAATGTTTTTTGAATGATAACTATAATAAAAGATAATCCAAAACAATACCGAAATTCAAAGGCAACAATTATGAAACAGAAAATATTGAGAAAATTAACAATAATAAATTTAAGAAAAAAGATTTGAACGAATATTTATC